TCTTGGGGACAGGATGGCCTTTTGTCTTGCCATCTTGTTGTTAAACAAGCAGTTTGGCATTATTTGAGTAAAGGAGGCTATGCCTTATGTCTGTTTATCAAAACCCAAAGTTAATGTGATAATTTGTGGTCTCCGTAGGCATATCCTATACGTGAGCACTTCCAAAGAAATACTTGAAATGTTACTTTTCTGTATAGCCTTGATTGGGACTTTGGTCTTCAAAGACTTAACTGCTGTTGATTTTCCCTTCAGTAGTGAATTAGATTTGATTTAGGTTTAATCTTATTTACCTGTGTAAAAACATTAAGGCTTTAGCTTGAAGTTTGTGTTTTCACAAGAAAATTGCATGTAGTGTTGATGACCAAAACCTGACTCTAAAATGTTTCAGAGGGTAGCAGACCGGCTATATGGTGTCTATAAAGTCCATGGCAACTATGGAAGAGTATTCAGGTAAGAATTCACACAGTTTTTAAATATATACCTAGAGAGTGGGAGGGTGGGAAAGAGAGAGAGGTAATTTGTTGGTTATGTTACAGTTTTGAGAAGTATATCTGAAACATTTCGTTGTCTGCCTTGAAAAACTTTTATATTGTAGTGCTAATTAGATTTCTGTGTTGGATACAGCGATCTCTGTCTCTAGTGGAACGCTTTGACTTTTTTGTTTTGTACTCCAGACCTTTGTGGTTTTTATTGTGGCACTGGCATTCTGTTTCTTCAGGAAGTAACTTACTACCTATTACCACCAGTTGTCTTTGAAAGGCTTCTAGGTCCTCTTAAGGGTTAAAAATCAACAGCTATATGCAATTTTAGTACCTTTTTAAAGTGAATTTGCCATTTGTTTTTTGATTTATATGAGTGAATTGCGTGCTCAAGTTTTCCATCTCACTGGAGAATTAAAGAATCTAAACTTCTGGTTAAGGAAAACCTCCTGCTTCTACACACTGTTCAAGTGCTAAATTTAATTCTCTGGGTTAATGGATTGCAGATGTCTTTCTCATTGGGGGTTTTAAAGTGAAATTAGGTGTAGTTCTGTAATAACACAAAGACAAACAAATGTCAACATCAGCAGAGTGGAATGCTTATGAAAAAGTGAAGGACAGAAGAGATGCATTAGATATAAATTATGTGTAATATAAGGGGACCCCTTCCTTTTTTCCTGTAAAGAGTTTCGGATGTATTTCTTGTAACTAAGAAATCTCATAAGATTTCATGAACTTGAGATCACAATTAAAATTACAGTGTACATGCATGGATGTCCAGACCAAGTCTCTTTCTGTATTTACAGGAGCTTTGTTTCATTCTTTATCTAAATAATTTCCCTAATGTGAATAGGTAGGTGCAGTAAGGAGGCAGTTCTAGGTTGATTTCGTTCTTTTTTTTTAATAAATAAAACTAAACAGCAGTCTACTATGAAAACAGAAAAGAACATACAACAAATCGTTTCAGGAGGAGTCAAGTGCTTGGAAATGCTATCTTCAGGTTCTTGAACTGAGAGGCTTCTATGTGATGTGTTGCAAGTCTGGAAAGCTTAGTTTATTCTTGATGAGCATGTGTAGACGGAATTCTGGTTTTAGAAAGTTCCCTCTTTTCCCCTCTCTAGATATGTTGCTCCCCCCTCCTTTATTTTAAGTGCTAGGGGGTTTTTTTTGTTTTGCATTTTTAGCTATTTAAACAAGCCTCTGCTCAAAACCAACCCTGAACTGAGTATATTTGTTGAGGATGAATTTAGGTGTTGGGGATGATTGGTTAGCAGAGTGCCGTAAACAGCCTTGTCACATTGTTGGTCTTGCTCCTTAGAGGAAGAAAAGTTTGGCCAAGTCTCAGGTTCAGGCAGTTTCCATTCAGGTGTCACCTGGAAAGAAACTATATACAGGATGCAGCTTATTAACTTCCCTTACCCTTCATGTGTGATGTTGTTTCTCATTTGTTTTTCCTACAGTGAGTGGAGTGCGATAGAAAAGGAGATGGGGGATGGGCTGCAGAGTGCTGGCCACCACATGGATGTGTAAGTACTGACTGAATATCTGATAGTTTGATGTAAGCCAGATGTAGAACTCTCCCTCTTTCCTCTCTTTTCCCTCAACCCCAAAGTACGTACAAGTAGTGCACTGAGAAAGTTGGGGGTGCGTTGTTTTGAGGGATACAGTGTTTCTGTGACTTGGATGCAGGCACAATTTTAGCATCCATGTACTGTATTAAGTAGCTCAAAAGGTCTCAGGAGAACCAGAGGGGTTTCATTTTTATTATTATTTTGAAATCGTAGAAGTGTGTGGAATTCTTCCAGTTTTTCTTTTAAGCTACTATGCCAGAAACTGGTGGAATACAATTTTAATGTACTGCAGACTTGATGAGATCAGTTTGGATTTGATAGCGGCATTTTGTACCATGCAGTAGATGGTACACAGATTTGGACTTAATTACAGAGAGTTAAGAAATTTAATTAATCAGCACTGAAACTTCAGTGGACTCTTGAAACAAATCCTGGCTGGATGTAATAAAGTAGTGAATCCTCCCTCTTTGCATCTAGAGAGTCAGTTGGCAGAATACACGAAGCACGGCCTTCAAAATAAGAGTCTAGGACTTCAGAGTGCTCACGAGGGCTATTTTAGGCTCATGATTTCTCATTGCTCTGATTCCTCTTCTATAATCATGCAGTATGAAGCTGCTTGACGCTTCTTCATACAATATTTTTACTGAGAAAGTGTAATTTGTGTGGAAGTAAAGTTATTGGGTTTAGTTTACGGTGCAGATCTACGTACGTACTACTGCCTGGTTATTTGTGTTATGCCTTTTCAAATGGAAGGGTTTGAAGAGCCATGCCAAACTCTAACCTCAGCTGCTTCTGATTTTATCAGATCTTTAAGAGTTTGAAACCCTTTGAATGATTTATTCACACTTCTGTGTTTTGGCTAAGGTATTTTGCACCCAAAAAAAGCTATAATATTATTTAGGCAGAAGACTCTGGTGAGAATAAAAAATGGAGAATTCTTTCAGAAGAAAATAATTGAAGTAAAAGTGGAGCACAGCATTAAGCACCTACTGCAGTAAGCAGAACTTGAGGAGATTATGAAAACTTGATCTAATACAAAGGAGTTAAGGAGGCACAAGTAGGTTTCCAGTGGTTCAGGTATACCCCACTAAGATGTCAAACACCTAGAAATGCATAACCAACTAAAAAGTGGGTCTCGCAGCTCAGTCAGGAGGCTGAACTCTCTCCACATATCGGAGATGTTTAGTATTTCTATCTGTAATAGAGGTAGGGTTAAAGATCCAGAGTAATGACAAGGAGTTTCTGGGTAACTTCAGTCACTGCACGAAGTCTGAGATAGCTTTCATCGTCTGTCATCTCTTCTCCCCGGGCACTCTCCTACAACAATAATCTCTTAGTGACAATCAAGCAAGAAGCAGCAGCTGTGAGATTCAGAAACTCATTCAGTGACCCATGAGGTCTCCTACCAGTAAGGTTCATATCTACCATCTCTTGAAAGTACAACTTAAACAGTTCAGTTACCGTTCTCATAACATCAGACAGGAGCTTATTGCAACAGAAAGCCAATTCAAGAGGGCTGCCTAATATAGATGTTAAACTTTCAAGACTAATTTAATTATTCTCTATCTACCCCATATGCTGTAGTCTTTACTAGATGTTTATTTAAACTTTTGAGTTGTTATTGTTTAGTATAATCTAAAACTGCTTAATATTTGGAGAAGACATCCCAAAGCTTCTTTGGGTGTCCGCTGTTTTAACAGCGTGAGGCTTGCTGAAGTGATGTAAAACAACAAAGTATGAATGTAATTGTAACGTTTAAAAGATGAAAGAGAAAAATGCCAGACCTTTGACTTCTGTCATTTATGCTATTAATGAGTGACCCTTTATCTCTGTATCAACTAGACTGTCATTACAGGTGGAACCAGTCGAAGCTCAAACAGGGAATTAGTTGACCATTCCCACAAAGAGTGGGAGCATGTTGGATACCTTTAGAACATACTGCAGCGTTTCTCTTTAAGATTTTTCTCTTGCTTGCCTACCTGCTGAGGTCAATCCAATATTTGAACTTCAGCTTAGGCAGTCAGAAATACAGCTTGTCTTACTCTTTTTTCTTTTTTAATTTTTTTTCAAATAAAATTTAAGTGTCATCAAAACCCTGTCTAGGTAAGGTAGGTTTTTGGTGGGAGTTTGGTTTGGGTTTTTTTGAGCATTGTTCTGCTACGGATGCGCTCTAACGCTACTCTAAACTTGGAACTCACTTGAAACTGAAATGTGGTCCATCTGCTGCCCTGAGAAATCTAACCACTACAGTAGAGTGATTGCACTTCAGAACTTAAAAATAGAGAGGGTAGGCTGCTTAAGACCTGTGTGGCTGCAAGATTTTTTTTTCGGAACAAGTATATTTTTCAGCAGTTTGGACTTCTTCCTTACTTTGATTCATAATGTAAATTCTTACTCTGCCTGTTCTTTCACCGTTCTACTTAATCTCCTGTTGCTGGTCACTTCATATGTTTAATGCTTCTTTATCACCAGGAGCATTGATAGGGCTTTTCCTGGGTATGCCATGACTTTGCTTTCACGGAGCATCAAAACAACTCATCTTGCTTGCAAACTTGCAAATTTCATGACCAGCTGGGCACTCCTATAGTTCTTTGTCAGTCTTCCCATTCGTCCAGTTGTTCTGCAAGGAGCCACTCCCTCCATGAAGAGCCCTCACACGCCCTCCTGAGCATGCCTGAGGGTGATAACTTTCAGCAGAAGTGTCTCCCTTGGATACCTCCCTCAGATTCCCAGAGGTCTAAGTGACCTTGTTATTTCTTTCAGAAGCTTGCAGGAGGGATTTCTTGTTCTCTTCCGAGTCACAGTACCAGTTCCCTTTCAGTTTGAGATGCTGCCACTTCACAGTTTCACAGCATGCTAGGGATTGGAAGGGACCTCAAAAGATCATCTAGTCCAACCCCCTGCCAGAGCAGGAACACCTAGATGATGTTACACAGGAACGCGTCCAGGCGGGAAGTGCCTGAAAAAATGGACACTCCACACCCCGCCCGCCCAGCCTGTGCCAGGGCTCTGTCACCCTCACTGAGAAGAAGTTTCTTCTCAAATTTAAGTGGAACCTCTTGTGTTCCAGCTTGATTCCATTACCCCTTGTCCTATCATTGTTTGCCACCGAGAAGAGCCTGGCTCCATCCTCCTGACGCTCACTCTTTACATATTTATAAACATTAATGAGGTCACCCCTCAGCCTCCTCTTCTCCAGACTAACGAGACCCAGCTCCTTCAGCCTTTCCTCCTAAGGGAGATGTTCCACTCCCTTCATCATCTTTGTGGCTCTGCGCTGGACTCTCTCCAGCAGTTCCCTGTCTCTCTTGAGCTGAGGGGCCCAGAACTGGACACAACATTCCAGATGTGGCCTCACCAGGGCAGAGCAGAGGGACAGGAGGACCTCTCTCGATCTACTAACCACCTCCCTTCAAATACACCCCAGGAAGCCATTGGCCTTCCTTGCCACAAGGGCACATTGCTGGCTCATGGCCATCCTGCTGTCCACCTGGACCACCAGGTCCCTTTCCCCTACACTGCTGTCTAACAGGTCGTTCCCCAACCTGTACTGGAACCTGGGGTTGTTCCTGCCCAGAGGTAGGACCCTACACTTTCCCTTGTATTTCATCAAGTTATTCCCCGCCCAACTCCCCAGTCTGTCCAGGTCTCACTGGATGGCAGCACAGCCTGCTGACATAGAGCCAGTTACTGGAGGGGCACAGGAAGAAAGTGGGGAAAGCTCAAAGACTTTGGAAAAAGCCAAGAGGTGCTGTAATTAACATTGGGTCACGCTGTGCCGGTCACCAGACAAGGAAGGACATACGCTTGCTTTGGAGAGCCTGGAGCTGTGTGAGGGGTTGCCACATACTTGAGAGTCCAGACTGAGTTAGCAGAATAGCTGAAGGCATTTGTGGTGGCATCTTACTCGTTCTGTTTACCTCCAGTGGCACATGTGCTGTGTTGTGAGCTGAAGTGGCATCTTCTTTCTGTCACTGTGCCAGCTAAGATGTGCAGTTACCTCTTAGCTGTGGACCTGTCCCTGCACAGACATCTTGGTTAGTAAGAACCTATTAAATGCTGTCCAATAAGCAATATAAACTAGAAAAAGAAAGTGTTTTTTGCTATTTTGTGGAGACATCACCCTAAATGACAAAACTCTTGCTGAATGCGAGAGCTGTGGAGTTAGTCCAAACCCTTGTACTTCAAATTTCTCCCTAAAAGGAAAGTTTAAACTTCTTTTTGCTCTGAATTGATATACCTGACTTACACAGCAGGCAAAGCAACAGACTTTCAAGGAGCAGAAGGACTTTGTGTCGTGTTGTTCAGAGCACCACTGTGAGTTCTCTCATACTCAGGCTGAATAATGAGCAATGAAAGCAGCCTCTTTGCTTTTCATAAGGTCTGATACTCATGTTCCTATGCCTTAATGCTTTAAGCTGTGCAGGATTTCTTCTGCACCATGTGTTTTTTGCCTTGATGCTGCCTGTTGACAGCCCACTGAAGAAAAAGAATAAATTAATTTTCTTTCCCGTAAGAGAAACTGCCTCATCTTCATCAGGAAACTTATAGTAGATCTTGTGCTTGTTAGAAGATTCATTGTAGTGACAACCACAGAAAGAAGCCTGCAGGAATGTTTATGATAGCCGATTCAGACTTTTTAAGTGAAGACAAAGGAAATCCCCGTTTTGGAAGTGCCTTTCACTGTTTTACTTTGTGACTGGTGTTTCTGTCAAGCAGGTGTCCTCCCTCGTTACTCTATGTGTAGTCCTTAAAGGTTAAATTAAGGAATTTAAATTTAACCATGGCTGTTTTTCACCAGATACGCAGCCTCTATTGATGACATACTAGAAGAAGAGGAACATTATGCAGATCAGCTCAAAGAATATCTCTTCTATGCAGAAGCACTACGGTATGTTCACCAGTGCGCAGCTCAAGGGGAAGCTGTCATCCTTTCCTCTAACATTGTGTTGTTGTATTTAATTCGGTTCTTCTTCTGTTCTCTGAGAAGTGGAAATTTTAATGTTTTGGAATCTCCCATGTTCTCACCTCTTATTTTGCTTGCTCAGGTTTGATTGCCATGTGGGTGGCAAATATAAAGTGGAACCAAGCTGATCAATAGCGAAATGACAGAAATGTGAAAATCGAGACCCTGTGGAAGGAAATGTTGTTTATGGCTCTGCTTACACTGTTTCTTTGGCTTCTGGTATAATAGTGCCCCAATGTGCTGAAAGCTTCAGCTTTCAGTTGAGATGGGCCAGACAGACCTGCTACAGTCATTGCAAATTCCAGCAAGTTTCAAAGTGCCCTTATATAACTTTCATTTGTTGCACGGTATTGTGCATGTAAATACTGATTAGTTTTTTGTTTTTGGTTTGTTTTACATTAGCCTTTACAGAGCACACTGCCCTTACAGAGTGCAGATATGAAAGCAAATTGCTTTATGCTGTAAGATTACACCTACAGCTGTTGTGCTGTCCATGGGCTGGCTCTGAACCTCTTGGAGAGGTCCAGGAGCACTGGCGAGTGCGACGGCTGCTGTGTGGGAACCCAGAGCACCAGTAGCCGCTCCTGGGAGGAGAACATGCAGCCGGCAGTGGAGCACGGATATAGCGTCATCAGCCCACGCAGTGCTGGGACTTACTGCAGGTGGTCAGAGGAAACTCGCCACTTTTCCAGATGAAGGGCGCTATATTAGTTCTAGGAGCACAGTTTCTCGTTTCACTGAATTCTTCACGCCTTTTTTTTTTTAAATAATGATTGATTGATACTTTGCTACTCTGACAGGTACCATCTCCAGGTACATTTTATCATAGTTGTGATTTTTTTTTTTCCCTGTAATGTATTTTGAATAAAACTATTTTATGTTGATGTCCTCAAGTAGGTGGTAGGACTTGTATTCCTGAGAGTATCTTGGGATGAGTCTAAAACGCAGCAGAACGCTGTTGTGCCAAGAACTTTGTTTGTACTTTGATCCAAGCTTGCTTTACTACAGCAATTGCAAAGTTACGTATTCTGTGATAAGGCTGTTAAATTGGAGCTAGATAAATAAGTGAATGTCTTGCTTGCCAAAAAGAAAAAGTGTGATGCCAGTTGTAAAATCTAAATGAAGGGAAACATAGCAAAACAAAGTATTACGTGACAGATCTTTCATTACTTACTTTTCAGGGCAGTTTGCAGGAAACACGAACTAATGCAATATGACTTGGAAATGGCTGCACAGGACCTAACATCTAAGAAACAGCAGTGCGAGGAGCTGGCAACAGGAGTGAGTCTTTTTCTACTTTCTTCTCCAAGATGCCTTTTCCGTAATTTTTTTTTTTTTTTTAAATTTAAGCCAAGTTATTTAGAATGACATAAATGCCACTAACATGCTGGCTGTTGCCGGAAGCAGCATCATATGGGCTGTAGGCATCTGAGGTTTAAAGTAACTTGGTTCTTGGTGTGACATAAGCAGTTTTTACCCAACTTCTTTTATTGAATACTGAGCAGAGCATGTAAAAGGTTGCAGGAAATATGACCTGAACAGAATAGCACAAACTACTCCATCCTAAAGATCAAAATGTTGGGAATCCTGAAAAGCTTCCTCTGCCTTTCAAAAGGCAGATTTTACTGCTATGTGGTGTTAGTCCATTTTGTATGGAAGATATTGTTACTTAAAATGTTATCTGAAAGTGGTAACTTTGTTTAGAATTCTTAATATTGCTGTTGGATCTGTTGATGTTCTATACAGAACTGCTTTATGGCTTTTCTTAGAACACAAGTTTCTTTCCTACTTCTGTAGGAAAACTGCTCTGAAAGGTTACCTCTGTCAGTGGAATGACTCGCTTATGTCCAGTCCACAGAGCAGCATTATTTTCCTCGCTTTGCTCAGTCCAACGTGGCCGCCCCATAGCTAACTATCAATTAATGAACGTTTCATTCACGTCGTGGAAGTTAAAGCAAAAAATGAGCTGAATAATAAGAATAAACCCAAATGCTGGTAAAAATCACGTGATGCCTTATGGCTGTGCTCAGGAAGCCCAAACTCAGAGCATCTTTGTTTTTTTGTAGACTGTGAGAACATTCTCTCTGAAAGGAATGACCAGCAAGCTCTTTGGGCAGGAAACCCCCGAGCAGAGGGAAGCCAAGATAAAGGCTCTAGAAGAGCAGATACAGGAAGGAGAAGAACAACTTAAGTCTAAAAACCTGGAGGGCAGGTAAATGGGCTTTTTTCAAAGAAAACACAGGACTTGTCTTAGCAAAACTCCTTGACTGGATGCTCTTGAAGGTGTTTGCATTTTATAAGTGTTTTTAATATATTCTTGGTGTTTATGAGCTGCCTATAAAAGCTCCTGTCAGCTGCAAGCTGTGAAATAAAGTACAGTACATGCAGTTAGCTTCTGGTCTGAGCGTATGGCTTATGTAAAACCTGATGACTTTCCCAGTTCCTGAGCCCACTCTAATGGCTGACTTGCATGCTTTTATGTTCAGCTACTAATATGTTTAGCAGGTGGGCTTCTAGGTTGCAGCTGAACAGCCTAAGACTCCAAAGCTGATTTGCTTCAAGTGCAGTATTTAGTTTGGGTTATGTGTATGGGTCCTGAGCTCATATTCTGCAACTTCTTGTATGGGGAACAACTGTCTCCTGTTTGAAAGAGATTAGAAGCTCTGACAAGTTGTGTGTGAGTAACTGCTGCTTGGTGCTCTAATGAAATTTTCTGCAGGAATGAGCATGTGGAACTAACATTCCTAAAGCAATGTGATTGTGTCAGAACACGTTCGTCGTGTAACACAAGGGGTAAACGTGGTGTCTCCTCGTACGGTAGGATTAGAGCTGGAAAGATAAGACTGGTTCATGAATAGTTCAAAACAAGACGGTCAGTAAATGCAGTTTCTTAATCATTTTGACAGAAGTACTGGGGATGTGCTTTTGTAGCTCTGGAAGCAATTTTCAGGTGAGTACTTGCCTTGTATGTATAGTCCAGCACAAATGAAAACTATGGACTACAGAAATCAACCTCCATTTTAGTTAAAGACACCTGAGGACACATCACCAAAATGAAGGAATTAATTCCTGAGGTGAATTGTCCAAGTCAAATGTGCATTGTAAATGTTTGTTATACTTGAACGTCTCCAATCCTGATGACAAGTGAGTTTTCACATTGGAAAAATGAAGATTCTGATTTGGCAATTGAAAAAGAAACATGCCATGTTGTGTGCTGAATGTTAGCATGAAGATATTAGTTAGCCCAGCACAATCTGAGGGGGGAAAAAAGTATATTTTGAATTACCCTGGTTCTATGGCAGTGGTGCTTTTTGTGGAGGAGTGGGGGAGAAGCCAGACCAACCCAATACATCCTGTGAAACGGATTCTTTAGTTTTAAAACCTTAAGAAGAAGGAAATAGAGAATTGGGTAGCAGTGCAGACTACAGAATGAGGTCACTGTGGTCTGCGTAATAATTACAGGACTCTGTTTACTGAATGCAGGATCGAGTACTTTGTCGTATGTGGCTTTTCTCCTGAGGGCCCAGAGGAAGGAAGATGTGCTGAAGATGGAACATATCAAGCACTTACTAACAGAAATGTTGCTTTTAATTCCAGAGACTTTGTGAAAAGTGCCTGGGCTGACATTGAACGGTTTAAAGAGCAAAAGAACCACGATTTGAAGGAGGCACTTATAAGCTATGCTGTTATGCAGATTAGCATGTGCAAAAAGGTACGTTTAGCTTGGGAAAGGCCAGGCCAGAGTATTTATCGTACCAGCAGGGGGTCAAATGCAAACTTTCAATAAGTAGGAACACTGCAGTCACAGAAGGTTGGAAGTCAGTAGCGTAAAACCTCCCACGTGTCACCGAGACAGAGCAGGATGGGATATGTGAATGTTGATGTGTGTGTAACAGGCAGTGTGGTCCAGTTCCAGTGTGGTCTCTGCCTTATTCTTGTGTGAAGTTCTGTGGGACTTTTTTGTAGAGCCTTCTATGGAGGAAAGTCTGCTGATGCGGTTTGTGAAAAAATACCTTTCCACCTATTGATTTTTCATTTTTTTTAAAGGGGATTCAAGTTTGGACAAATGCAAAAGAATGCTTCAGCAAGATGTGATGATGTGGAAATGAATTCCTCCTCCAAGTGCCAGGGAACGGAAGCACAAACGTGTAACACCGATGTTAAGTTGCTACACGACTTACATACAAATCATGAAATAAATGAGTCAATAGTTTTTCTTTCTGCTGATTGTAATTGTTAATAAAGGACAAAAAGGATGTGTTATTAAATGTTTAGCCCCGATTGCCACTTTTGTGGCGTATTTTATATGTGGTAGCAAATAATTTGGGCTAAAAGAGTTACTGAAAACTACTGCTCTGTATTGGGGCAAAGGTATAGGGAAAGTTATCCCAGAAAGTATGAACTGAACTGAACTGTTCTGAGACTTGTCAAACGCCATGCTCTGCAACGTGTAGATCACTTCCAGATGCCCTTCTTTTCAGCCCTTGCTGTTTAGAATTTTTAATGCTCAAGGGTGCTTTAGTTTTACAATGGGACACACAGTTGTGTTCTTGAGGTCTACACCATAAGAGGACAAAAAATGAAATATTGTAACGCCTAGGGTTCATATTTAAATGCCTTTGCGTGTCCATAGAGAAATATGCTTTTCCAGAGTTCAGGTTAAGCAGTCTCGAGCTCCTGGGATGTTTAAAATTCTCTACAGTAGAGGTGTTGTACAATGGTTTGATACAATATTCTGCATTTACTGGTTCCTGCCGAAGTTTTGATAACGGGCATTGGTTTCTTATCAAACTTCTTCCTGCAAGTAAAGGATGCTGGTGATCCAGCTGAGCAGCAAAACCAAAGTCCAAGCTGGTAAGAAGCAGATGCAGCTTTGGTGGGTACCCACCAAATCTGGCCTGTGGGTACCTCTTCTTGTAACTGAAGTGGTTTGGTTCTTAAAAGAATAATTCTTAATGAAGATGCTGAAATAAAAAAACCTGGTGCGACTTTGTAGAACACTTAAGAACAGTGATTTGTGGAATCCAAAGTGAAACAAGGTGTGTGTTTGGCTCTTGTAATGATGTTTCAGAGAGTGTGTGTGTGTATATATGTGCGTATATATATATACACACACCAGTGTAACATGATTTATAGTTGCAAGTACTTGCATTAAATGTTTTCAGTTATGAAAAACACGGCTGTCTAATATCGGGCTTTTTCTAGGTACTTAAAGTTCCTGAAGTCTTGTGGAATTTGTCAGATTTGATTGCTAGTCCTAAAGGAAGCTTTGTAATATTCTGTTGAAAAGTGTATTTAATTATTTTGGATTATAACACTACTCAGATTTTGATTTTTTTTTTTTTTTTTTTTTTTTTAAGGGATACTCCAGGAAGTCCTTAAATGTTCTTTTCATAAGTTATCTAAACGTAATTACTGATACATCCCATGTTACTTCTGTGTCTGCGGCGTTTCTTTTCCGTAAAAAAACATTGTAAAGAATTCGTAGGCCTGGTGTATAGTTTAAAGCTCTGAATTAAAATGCTGGTCGCTCTGATAACCTGTGTTGGCTTTTTCAAAGCGTAGGACAGTGACACTCCTGGCTGAGAGATGGTGTTGGGCAGAAAGATCTCTCAATCTCACGCTTACAGGGAGAAGCGTTGTTCCGTTCAGAGGCTTCAGCGTCCAGTTCCAGTCCGGGCTGAAGGACTCTTACATTCCAAACCAAGAAGTTGCACACTTTGTGTATTCAGCAAACCTTCAAAAGGAGTGGTGCCTTAATGCAATACCATGAGGCGCTCAGAGTAGGTATTTTTTCATGCACTTTCATTTTTGGTAAATCTTTCTGGTGCCTCTTTCCACATTTCACTTGCTGTACAGCTTATTAAATAATATTAGTACGCTTTACCCATCCCCCTCCTTGCTAGTTGTACTAAATTTAAGGGAACAAAATAGTTCTTGTAAGTTTTGTGCCAAATAAGCTAAATAAAATTGCTCTTTGATATTTTTGTTCTGTTGTTTTTTTGTAAAAATGCTCTCGTCGCAGTTTTGACAACTGCTCTTCAATTTCTTGAAATTGGGTTTTATTGCTCTCAGATGGCCTCCAAACTTGGGTTTAAAATTTCAGTAAATTGTGAACGACTAGCTGATTTATCTTTTGGGCGAAGAACATAGTGCTAAGGCCAAAATTAGATCTTTGTTACAAGCTGGCTTTGATCCCTGCTTTGTTTTTGCCCCAACAGAACTAGCTGTCTGAATTTCATGTGTGTCTTCATCTAGGTAAGAGAAAGATACATTTGAAAAGGGTTTGTGTCATTTGACAGAAATTGGGTGAAAGGGGAGTTAAGGATAATTTGCAACACCCTTTATTTCTTTTACTTCTGCCTGTTGCAGAAAAGCATTGTGTGCGGTCTGCGTGCTTCCGAATCTTAGCAAAAAGTGAAGGTTTCTCCTCCTTTTGGCTTCGTAAGGGAAAAATCACGTAGTTAATGGCTGTTTCCATGTGGTTAATAGAGTCCACATGATAAATGCACGCTTCCGAAGTGTGCATTTTTCCAGCTACGGTGCGGATTTAACTTCTCTAATTCGATCCGCTTGGCCTCAGTGAGCTTCCTTCGGTTACCCATAAACATCAGAAATTGGTGGAAGGTCTTGAGATAACAGCATGTAGGTAGACCATTTTACCTTAATCCCAACAAAATGCTTGTATGGGAGAGTTCACCTGCGTGGATCATCCGCTTTGCTGGTGGAGCTGTCACTTCTGTCCCAGGAAGCTTTGCTGGGTGGATTTTCACGGCTCCTGCTATCCCTGACCTTCCCTGGTCCCGGCGGGACCTTTGCTTGTCAGTCCCTTGCAGTTGCTGCTGTTGTCTGCTTGCAAAGCATAGCTAGGGTGAGGGAAATGGAAAGATAAGGGATTTGTGTGAACTCTTTTTATTTTATTTTTTTTAAACTGTTGCAGTATTTCAGTATCTTGGCACGTCGGCCAAAGCAGAGGTAACCCAGCAGCTGTGTGCAAGGACTACCTTGGCAAGTGCAGAGCAAACCTGGGAGCTCGAGCCCACGCTGAGGAGCTGGCCTGGTGCGGCTGAGCCGGAGGGAAGCGATGGCTGTGGCCAAACCTGCAGCAGAGCCAGCACAGCAAGGCTGAGGTCCCGAGCGGTGCTTTAAAAAGTGTTTCTCACTTCTGCTTTGTGCCCTAAAGCATTAGAGTGAAGGAGGTTGTCTTAACTCCCTGCGTCTGTCACGCAATGTCAAGGCAGGGCTTTAATTCACGGTCCCTTACGCCTCCCTGTTCTGCACCTCCGTGGTGCCTCGGTCTGGTGTTTCTCCCAGAGCTCTGCAGGGAGGTGCGATACCGGTAACGAAAGTCCCGGTGCGGGGCTGCCGGAGAAATAATCCAACAAAGGAACGAGGCAGGACGAGGGCTGGTAAAACGGGAAAAAAAAACGAGGACAGGATGCTTGTGTGCCCGGCACAGCGGCCACCTTTGCCAGCAGTCACGTCTGCTCTGAGCTCTGCGGTTCCAGAGTTCCCGCCTGGTGGCTTCCCTCCCTCTTGCCCAGCAGAGCTGGCGTTTCTCGGGGCAGGGGGATCTCGCAAAAAAATGC